TTCAATACCGAATGCATCACTGAGTTGACAGCTAGTACGCAATAGCCTTGTTACAACCCAGATCATTGTCATGGAATCAATCGTTGAAAAATGTACTGCTCGTGCAGAGGAATTGCGCTGAAGGAGGTGACGTGGGGTAGGGTGATTGCGTCGGGATAACAAACGGAATAGGAGATGTAGAAGTTGACGTTGCCGTCAGTGGGAACAGAAGGACTTTTAGAACTGCAGGCTCTATAAGCAACATGTTCGGATGCTATTACATGCTACATTAGGCAATTATTCCTGCTTGATGTAGGCCGACCCGGGGAAGGGAATCCCAGAATGACGGTTCTAACCGTATTAGTCGAAAAAAACAGCCACCCGAACCGGTGGCGCGTGCTATTTTTGGCAGTTAATGGCCCGACCGGTCGGACCGGTCGGACCATGGTCTCGAGAAATCCTCAGACCAGACCAAGTCTTGGCGGTCTAGACCAGACCGGGACCACGTCAGACCAGACCATTCCGATCACTGGTCCATGGCTCCAAACAAACAGGATATCTCGCTCGCTTAACTCTGGAATTGTTTGCCCCTTCACATATGTCGGCTGAGTGCGAACATGTTTTTTTTGATCGGCGGAGCAGGTTGAGGGTAGATATTATCGAAGCGTGTGAGTGTTTCCGGACCTGGTTTGGAAAGCCCGATGTTGAGGATGATACACATTGATAGTCAAAGCGAGCAGAATAAGAACGACAACGATGAGATCAATATATAATAGAAAAGCATATTTCCTTTTCTGTTCCATTGTTTCAACCTCATGCTGTAATGGTCTCGTTGGTCCGACCGGTCCGACCAACCGGTCCGACCAAAGCGGCTTGGTCTGGTCTGTTTTACCGCCCAGACCAGACCATTCCGATCACTGGATCATCCTCCCTACGGGACCATTTTGGCATCTTTCCGTCAGTCACCTGTCTTCTGAGGTTGCCTCGCTGGCTGGGTGCTTTTGTCACCGTGGTAAAGTGGAGGGTGTGGGGAGTCCTATACCGAACAAGTTCTATGGTGCCAAGATATAGCTCTCAGAAGCCATTATGGTAAAACCACCCTAAGCGATGGTAAGACACGTCATTTGTCGCGTTGCGCGGCTTCAATTCTTGTCTGTTCACAGACTTGCGTATCTTAAGGCGAACTCCAGACTTGCGTATTGTGATATGCTAAAGTGATATCATATGTGCTAAAGTGCTAAAGGAGTATTATATCACTGTGAATATATATCACACTTTTTTTCAGATAAGTGTGATATCACAATTGCTAAAGTGATATGCACGTGACATACCGGTCCAGAATTTACCTATTCTAGCGGTTGTTGAACGCACTTCTGGGATAGAGAACGAATGAGTTACAAGAACGTTAACAAGATTGAATGTATTCAGTAGCCGGAAGCGTCAAAGGCATATTCAGAAGACTTTTGATGACGGCATGGGTATATTTACTGGTACGCGCCTTAATAGCGACGGTGACGAGCACTCGGGCACAAATTACCTCTGGTGGCAATTGAGGTCACGGGTAGATTGGTTCGTGATATCACAGGTGCTATAGCTAGAGTGATATCACAGGTACTTTCGGGTAGTTTTGACAAAAACAGAAAGGTCATCTGCGACAGGCATCACGATGCCCCACTTGCATTACTACCGGGGTTAGGTCCGTAATTGAGGCGAAAAAATGATGATCGTATTCATTGATGCTTGTATCCTCTGTGTTCTTGTCGGGCGGGGAGA